TTTTGGGGTCCTCTCATCCAACTGTGGCATCAGGACTCTCTTCCCTGCCAAAGTGAGTGGGGAACATTTGTGGACCAGCTTTTACTCTAGCTGTTTTCCTTTTGTAGCCCACAGGGATAGTAGTTGGCAGCTTCTTGACGGAGCACGGTTCTGTCTGGCACAGGTCAGAATCCCTGCCTCTGCTGGTTTGTGGTGAGAAGGATCCCTGGCGCACGTGTGTCTGGAGACTGGCAGGATTAATCCCATTTTCTGGACATTCCTACTGCAGCTGCTTTCCAGCACTTCTCCAGACATTGACTCCTGCCCTACCTGCAATGGTTGTGAATAACAGCATAGCATTACCCTTCTTACACTGTGAGCTGATACAATCATATTGTCAACCCATATGGGCAGAGTTTCTCTCTGGCATCCAAGCGCCTGCTCAGGGATCTTTTCACGCAGCGTCTAAATCTTGGAAATTGTCCTCCTGGAATATCAGAGTTGTATGCTCCATCAGATGAGAGCACCATCAGGCACTAATTAGATACTGCATACGCAAGAGGTCAGACTGGGTATATTTGGCACCTCAAAACTTGTTGGTGCTTGTAGTCCTAATGTTGCTTGAAAGCAGAAAACTGAAAATACATCCTGTCAGTCATTTCCCCTTAGCTCTTCAAATCAACAATTAAAAACACCATGGGGAGGGAAGAGTGTGGAGATATGAAGGTGGCAAACTCCAGTTTACTTTAGTTTAACCAGCTGTGCTCATGGATGGGTGCTTCTGCTTTAAGTTAAGAGTGCAGTCCAGGGGGGAAACTGTGATATGATGAAGAACAGAAAATGGCATGGATACAGAGGCAGCTGTGAATGGAGGAGGAAATTAGATACTGGGAGTTGAGTGGAAGTGGAGAGCCGTTCATGTTTTGACGTGGAAGTTAAACTGAATGAAGTTGAGAGGACTTGTTCCTTCCACATAGCTTGTCCTATTAGGAGTCATGGTTTAATTTGGAACCTGGGAAGAAAAAAAAAAAATAATCACACAAAGGCAGTGGCAACTTCCCAGTAGCAGTTAAAAAAATTGGAAGTATGGGTGAAAACACATAAATGGAAAACTCTTGAAAAGCATGGTTTGTGACTCCTAATGGGGTTTCCATTGTGGGCTACAACTGACAGGGTATTGTAGTTCTTGAAATAACAGCACAGACTAGACCTGATTCTCCTGCATGAAATTATTTGGGTGCTTTTGCAAGCAAAAGAGCAGGAATGGGGCCTACTCTGGGAAACATAAAACAGAGGGACAGCAGTCTTTTAATTCTTCCAATGCTTTTTCTTTTAATCCTCAGTTCCTGAATTCATATGACTGCATGAGGCTATCAAATTTCATATGAGTAATGGGGAGTAAATTTATAGCCCTGGTGTCTGCAGTGGAAATCTTGGACAGTATCAACTCTGAAGGTTCAAACAGAAAGCAAAAAGTCCCAGTTTCATCATTAAAACTTGTATTTCAAAATCCTTGGAGTTGTCTGTAATGTGAAAGTTGTATCACAAGTGTTACACAGAAAAATGACAAGAAATTGTGATGTTATTTCCTGTTCTGTATACCTGGCATGGGCCAGCCTTACAAAAGGGTAAAGCACTATATCATTTAAGTTAAGCTCATAACCAGACTTCCTTTACAAGCTATGTTTCCAATTCCCTCTTCCCTCATACTTAACTGCCTCCACACTACTGGATTTTGTTCTAGCAGTTTCTGATCTGGTATTTCCATGTGTGCTCTCAGGCTTGGGGTCAATATGAAGGGAAAATTTGCTTATGTCAATATGCCTGTGGAGATAGCAGATCTAATGGAAGTATTTCAAGCACATAGTCAATATAAGGCTTGCTTCTTTCTTAAAATACTACTTCTTGAAATACAAGAAATAAAGCTTAATCTTGCATTGGGTTTTCTATTAAAATTTGGTGGTAGCATAAATGAAAATTAGTCCTCCCTTGCATTTTGCAGCATAAAATATGTGGCTTTCATCTTCAAAGCCACAACAGACTGTTCTGAATGTTCCTTCTTTTGTGGCCTGAAAGAATTAAGAAAATATGCACATGCTTCATTTCTAATGTGTGTTTTAACTTAATCTCATAACAACAAGATTGGTGGAAGAGAAGCAGGCGCTGTATTGGAGTAATGAGAACAAATCTCTAGTTTTTTTTTCTTTTTAAGAGCTAAATGTTTGAATTTTTTCTTCACATTATTTCCTTTTGTCCTAATTTACTTGTACTTATGTCCATGTTTTCTTCCCTAGAGGGAACGGCAAAGAAAAGATTCAGAGTTCCCTCTAATTATAGTGTATTGCTGTTATAATGGTTAATGTGCCTCAGCAGAAAAGTATCTCAAGACAGTTGTGCCTGAAACTGGGCTTTGCTGGGTTGGGTTTTTTGTATTTGAGGCCCTTTACTCAGTTTTGTGCATTTGTTGGTAGGTCAGTAAATCTGAGCTGCCTCAGATCACTCATGAAGAAGGGAAAAATTTCTAGAGATGAAGGATCGTACGCAGTTATGAGAAACAATTCCATTAATTTAGGAAAGACCAGTGAAATTGAGGAAGGAGGAGTAACCAACCTAATCCATTTTCTGTGCTCAGGAGTAGAGCCTTCAAACTGACTCCAGCTCATCCAGTATTGAAAGTGTGCTTGGCTAAAGGTTTGCAGTTTGAAATCTATCAGAATTTCTTTAATTTCTTTTTCATGAGATACTCTCCTATCTTTAGTGCTCTTTATAACCATTTTTTTTCCAGAGTGAAGCTGTGACTCTTCTACCAAGGGAGCCTCAGTTACCAGTTTTTCAAACCAGTCTTGGAGGGATAGACTGCATTCAGAACAGTGAAGAAACACTTAGCAGACATAACTTACAAATTAACTGACCACACTAATGGAATGCATTAAGGGAGGTCCCTCAGTTTTGCTATTTGAGATAGCCAGCTGGGAGACTTTGTTGTTTCCTGCAGTGGCCTTCTTGCTGTGTGGTGCATCCTGTTTCCGTGCCTGTCAAGTCTTGTGCTTATTGTGCCTTTTACCTGCATGCTGCTGTCTGCCTTCTCCCATGCTGCTGGGGGTCTGGTTTGATGTTCAGCAGTAAAACATCTAATAACTTCATCATTTGTGTATCTGCTGAGCCGATTCTTTAAATGGGTCCTACTCTTACAAGTGGCTAAGTAAAGTGACTCCATAGATTGCCTTGCATTGCAGACGAATAATTATGTGTTTGAATGACTAGTGGGTTTTATGGTTGTGTTTTGTTTTCATCCCAGTGGGGCACTGCAGTTACTGGGGAGTGATGTGAAGCTTGTTGTGGCTGACACATGTTCAACAGTTTGCTTCCAGAAATCACATAATTCTTTGTTTTTCTTGTGGAATAACTGTTGTTGAGGCATATGTAAGGAGGAGTCAATCTAACTTGACTTTTAGCTTCCAGACATCTGAATTAGTAGCAGGGCAGTGGAAGCTGATAGAGGAAAGGCTGAAGGTTAACTAACAAACAGCAGTAACTAAGCCGATTCCCTGCTTCCATCTGCGACAAACTCCTCCAGTCCCTATATATCCTTCCTAATATATCCAAGTCATAGATGAAGTTGTCTGTCATGGGAGACTGCTGGTGAGGGGAAGAGGGTTGTGTTAAAACACTGCAATATGAACATGCTTAAGTGCGGGGAAGAGGGTTGTGTTAAAACACTGCAACATGAACGCGCTTAAGTGCTTCCTACAGTTGGTAGGGGATAGCTTTGTCATGGTCCATCCAGACTTGTTATTTTCCATAGTCTGAAATTCCCTGGGCTTCTGGTTGGCTTTTGATGGATGGTAGCCACTTGGACCAAGATCTCCGTGGTTGCTAGTCACCGTGGTATGGCGTACAGGTGTCCATCTGAGCCCTGTAGGCCACAGTGTCAGAGCAGCACAAAATTCCTTGTGAGTAGTGACAGAATTTTTTTTTTTTTCCCCTAGAGTTCACTGAATGGCACTCTGTCCTAATTTTCAGTCAGGCTTTCCCTGCCCCAGTTTGTCCACATCCAGCGGATTTGTCATCCATACTATACCATATGGACTGTTATTGGCCTCAGCCCTAGTTTCTGTTTTCTTCTGTTTTACTTCTGAATCTAGACTCCGGTGGGCTCAGAAGCCTTCTGGGAGCCACCTTGTTATATTTCTTTTTAAAGCTTTCCTGGAGCATAGACAAAGGATTTAGGAGTAGGGGAAGTGGAAAGGAAGTGTGGGAGCAGTATGCTTACCCACTCGAACTATGGAATTGGTGAGACTTGAAGTACATGTCTTTAGTATGGCTTTTTTCTTTTCTTTTTTTGTCTTTTCAGAACAGAATCAAAAATCTTCTGTGTACTTGCTCTTGCAGCTGTATAGGACAGGAAGCTGATTTAAGGAGAGAAACAGGAAAAGTCCTTATTGCCTGTGATAGGAGAAGCAAGATTTTTATGCTTTGAAAAGGTATGTATTAGAAGATTTGCTTGGTAAAAATTCCAATAGTCATCAATACTCATTTGCATTAAGATTCTTTCTCTCAAGAGCTGTCCTTCCTGATGTTCATTACAGAAATTTCCCCTAGCTTTGTTTTTAAGGGGAAGGCTAGCCTGTCCTTGTTCCCAAGATTCAGCCTTTGAAAATAATGTCCCTTTAATCATAAGACTGTGTATCTAAACAAGCAATTCATTTAGCTGTGCAACAGCAATTACAGTTGTTTTCAGTCTAACTGTAAAGCAAGTTCTGTCTTTTCACCGGCATTCAATGACAGCAACTTGATTAGGCCCTTTAATCCATAATGGAAGTACTTACTACAAAACAGAAAATACACTGAGAGTATACAATATAGGCCGAGTAGAAAATGCAGAAGTAAATATTATTATGTAGGTAGTCCCACTGGTTTTTTTCTTCTTTTGATTCATGTATTTTCATGTTCACAGATATACTGTAGTTTTCTGCCACTTAATGCTAACAGGAAAAAAAAAACCCAAAAAAACCCAACTCATCTGCTTCAGGAGATTCTGTTGTAATGTATCCAGTGGCTGTTCCTGCACCAGGAGGTGAAGGAAATAATGGACAACATGGGAAACTTATTTTTTTCCTTTTTGTTTTTGGAGCTGTGTTGCTCTGTGCTGGATTCCTGCTTTCAGTCTTCATTCTCCAGTCGTGCCCGTCTGGAACCTTCAGTGACTGTAACGAGGTCCTTAAGGCTGCTGGGCCTGTGCTGGCTGTAACTGGACTGGTTTGTGTTTTACTGGCACGATCAAGGGCCAGGCTGTATATAAGACAAAGACAGTTGCAAAATGAGCAGGTGTACAGCCTTGTTTTTTGTCGTGGGAGCTGTCAGTTTGCCCAGTTTCTCATATTTGGATTCTTGTTTTTAACTAGTGGAATGCTAATTAGCATCCTGGGCATTTGGGTTCCTGGCTGCAGCCCTGGCTGGCACAGCATACAGCTCAACCACACCGGCAGTTCTGATGTGGACCTCCAGGGCTGTGGATTCCTGTCACTTCAAATCATGGGACCTTTGATTGTGCTCACTGGGTTGTGTTTCTTCGTGATAGCTCATGTTAAAAAGAAACAAAACTTAAATCTCAACCAAGAATCTTGCGAAAGTGAAGAACATCCTCAGAACCCTGAATCTTTTCAGGTTACAGTAGGTGGGTAAATAATGTGTGAACATTACATTAAGAGTTAGTAGGGTTTTTTTTTCCCACTAATGATTTACCTCCAAGTATTACTCATTTGAGCTCTAAGCATGTCAGTTCTGGCACGTGAATAAGCCAAAACAGAAAAATATTGGTTTGTCTCGTATGTTTTCTGTATGGTCAGTTCAGTTACCTTTCTCTCAAAGACAAAACCTCTCCTTTGGCATAAAAAGAAAGGTCTGACTGTCTTTGCAAAAGAAGCCATGTAATCTGACACAAATGAGTCCAATCCCACTTCCTTTCCCAAAGGGTGTAGCTGACACTGCAAATCACAGGTCTGACAACTTCTGTGACTATATTTAAGATTTGTCAGAGCCTTGGGCTCTGACCCCTTAAACAGGAGAATCTGATTCATAAGCAGTGTATTGTATTATTTTAATCACGGCCACATCTTCCATCAGTCAGAGATGTAATTGCAAGATGCTTCTGCTAATTGCACAGTATTTGAGTAAATTGGTATGTTAGCAGGAAATGCTCCCCTGCATATAGCACTGTTTTTAATACCCTATGAATACATTCTATGCATAGATTATTTTGATAACTTTCTAGCTCTCAGGATTAATGAGTCAGTCATAGTATTGCTTGGCTGTCATCTGACTGACTGGACTTGAAATCCATTGTGCAAAACTTTTTTCCTTCTGGCTGTCAAACCAATGTACAGACCTGTAACCTGGTGACCCTCGGAAAAAGTGAGGGTTTAAAGTCAGTTTTCCAGCTACCAGGATAAATCAAAGGGTCATAGAAAGGAGTTCAGATTGTCACTATGCCAACCAGACCTCAGCCTTTCAGTTTTACTTTTCCTGGTGGAACTATGAAAGGAAGCCACTAGTTTTGCTTTCTTGCCTTTAAAGACATTCTGGAAGAGTGGTGACTCAGCTAGAAAACACTCCCCACCTCACTCAACATTTCTGATGCTCCCTGACCTGTCCCTGCACACAACTTACAAAGGAAGAAAGCTGCCAGGCAGCTGTGAATGTTTATATAAATTATGCAAGCTCAGTGACTAATACAAACTTTCTGTTTTAAAAAAAAAAAAAAAATTGAAACCCCTCAATTACAAAGTTGAAATTGGCAGATATGCTGCACAGTACACTTAATAGAGAGTTACGTGTCAATAGCATCGTGGTACTAACATTAGTAGTGTGCCTTCAGCTATGAGTAATTTAGTAGGGAAACTGTCAAGGCACACAAAATCAGTCATCAGAACCATTAATGACTTGAATACTTTTGTCATACCACTGCAATAGATGCGGAGAAACTTGAACTGCCCAATTTTAGATACGTGAGGACAGCTAAATACTTGCCTACCCTTAAAGGGAGTCAACAGTAACTGTGTGCTTTGCACTTCCAGTTTCTGAAGACAGCCAACAGTGAAGAGGTTTGTGTCGCACAGCTAGATGGAACACTCCCCCTCCCCTAGCTGTATTTTCTAAATTAAATCTTCCATTTATTAATATGGTGCATCTTTATTTGGGGATAATTTTGGTTTTGAATATACCTCTAATGTACTTTAACAGCCCAGAATATAACAGTTCTGTATGTGGCATCATTGTACTTTATCTTAAAAGGTAGACAAGTCCAAACACTGTAATTCCAAAGACAGGAAATATTCTAGGATACAGTTAGAGTAAACAGTGGTGCTCAATTTTTCAGAGCTCGTAATTGGTGGTTTTTCCCCTAGGTGATGCTGTAATGGTATTCCCACCTCCACCACCTCCTTATTTTGCTGACCCTCTGTCGCCAACCGTGACATGTCTTATGTCAAGTGGTTTGCCTACAAGTGAAAATCCTCCACCATACCACTCTATTTTCAGCGATGGGTAAGACTGTTGTCTTCTCTGTCTTTGGAAATCCGAGATGTTTCTCAAAGTATCCAAGACCATGTTCTTAAATAATCACTGTGAATTAACTCTCTACTAGGCGCTACAAAGTTTTTCTAGTGCATTGCTCAACTTACTTCAGGTACCTTACTTGACATGGCATTAAAATACCCTGGTATAAAAGGGGAATCGCAAACCACAGTGTCCTTCATGAGTGTTAAATTGTTAACAGTTTATTATGACTGAAAAGAACTTCCAAAGTGAAAACAAAGTCTTAAATCGGTGGCTTTATTTAAATTTCCTTATATTAGATTTCTTCCACAGATTGCCCAAGAGAAGGTGTCCCTGAGAGCAGTGCCAGATTTTAGGAAGCCTCTGTAGAACCAATGCAGTGAGGCCTTCATGACACCTATCCACAGGCCCTGTGACCCTTATCTCACTGTCTTGAGGAAGTGAGACCTGCCATGCTGGTCTGCCTTGTCCTGCTGTGGCAGTGTGTTGAGATAAAAGGATACCTTTATTGCAGGAGAAGGGCAGGAAGCTCCAGGGAGCTTAAAAGGGAGGTTACAATGCCAAGTTCATCTCAAGATGTTGTACCTTACCCATGCAGCCACTCTTCCATACATGGAGTACAGACAATTTGCTAGATGCTGCCACTGCCAAGCTCAGGGAGCAAGAGATTGACTGAAGAGTTGTCTGCACCACAAGAGCTTGAAGGGTTATGTATCCCCTGTAAGTTACCACTTGTGGGCTGCTGACTTGAGGGTAAAAGAGGTCACTGCAAAGGCCACATACTGGGAGCCAGAACTAGATCTGGTCAGGAGAGCTAGATGCTATGTGCCTTGAGCCCTCAACTTATCTTCAGGCCCTTAATGATCCAGAAGTGACTTAGCTTTACCTTTTGAAAGGTCCTTTGTCAGCTTTTTTTTGATCTGTGAGTCAATATGTGGTGTGTGACTTTTTCACTGGGTGTCTAGTTTACAAGACTGTACCTGCAGCGTCCTAAGCACCATCACTGCATCAAAACCCCCAGCCTGCCTGGCTGTGTCCTGTCATAGTAGGTGTTGGGCCATTGCTTTAATAGCTTTCCACTATATTCCAGCCTTCTCCACTCATACGAGGCAGTGCATTCCATGACCAGCTGTACCAGCTGTGTGCCTGATGTTGGTGCTTTTTCAAAACTGTAGTGCTAATCTTCCCTTTGAAGCAACCAAGCATGAGCCCTCTTCCTGCCCAAAGACCTAAATGCCACAGGAGGAGGATACTTGTGTTAGCAGTGGTGCTTATTCTTGTTACCATGCTGTGTGCAGCCATGTCTGTGGTTTTGTAGTCATCCTTTGAAGTATACCTGGTGGATTCTTGAGGCTCAGCCCCACTGTGCACAGCACTCTGTTCTCTAGTCAATCACCATCAACAACTCCTCATATTGTCTTCCATTTCATAGTGCCCTCCTCCAAACATTTTCTTCCCATCTTTGTTGGAGACAGCAGATGGCTCCTTCTGTTGCTATTACCACAAGCCAGGCTGTCCTTCTGCCTGTCCTCAAAGTGACTTTTTTCTAACGTAGAATAAGCACGTCTCTATCAAAAAAACCTATTCAGTCTTCCTTGCTACTATGCAGCACTCACTCGTGCACAGTGGGACTGGCCCCCAAACAAAAAGATGATCATGTACATACTGCCTGAGGAAGGGAGACACTCAGCATTTGGGTTCCCACTGACTGAGGTCCAGCTTGAGGTTGATGACTTGTGCTGACTTGTGCTAACAAACCCTAGCTACACACATCATTCATTCAGTCTGCTGTTTTTCCACTTAAATTATTTCAGAGAGAGTACTTTTTGTACAAAGCTGATGAGAATATGTTGATTACTCAGTGCCCTAAATACCTGCCAATTTGGGATGACAAGGGTAGATGCAGGGATCAGAAGATGTCAGGGTTGGTCAAGCAAAAGTGCTTTCCAGAGAGTAGTGGCTCTCATGACCAGGCACAAATGGTTGTGTGAAGAAACATTGTGTTTTGTTAACTATAAAAGTCTGTGCATGTTCTCAAATTGCAGGTGAAATATATCAGCTCTTCGAGCTATACCACTGCAATTGAAGGACACCCAGAGCAAGCAGGAGAGAAAATAAACTCCTGCTGCTGAAAGAAGGAATTTACATGAAGTCTCTGTGTTCTTACTGGGCTGGGTGAAGGCATCCACAGCTGGAAGCTGTTTCATACCAGCTGCAGCTAGTCCTGGAGTTAGGCACCACACTGAGCCTGTCTGTGCTACAGCTCCAGTGTATGCTGCAACTCCCTCCTGGCATGTACATCCCAGATGTATGTACAAAGCAAATGGATGTGTGTGGAGGAGTGACTTGCCCCAAGTGTGAACCTGGACCTCTGATAGCCCTGAGACAGCCAATTCAAATATGGGCCAAGGACACCCTCAGAAAACATTTAGAAGACCAGGCTGGAGTGGATAACTGAGAGAAATATGGGAACATACATGAAAAGTGTATTCTGCTGTAGCCGTACAAGCAGCTGAGAGATGGATTGACTCTTGTACCACCTGTCTGTAAAAGTACAACGCACAAGTCCTCTCTACCCTGTAATTTCAGGCCCCGAGTTCAGATGTGGGCTGCCTGCCCATGTGCTTGGTAAAATGTGTGCATTATCAAAGGGTGTGAAAGAATGCAAGCAGCGCATCCTGCGCTGATAAAGGAAGAACAAAGGGGGGGGGGGAGTGGCACAAAAAGCTAGTTCCTGGGGCTTCCTGTGGGGTCTCCCTGCTGGTGCACATACCAGGTGACCCCTCCTTCCTTCACCCATTCTCAGAGATAATCCCCTGGAGCTGGATCAACTGCCTCAATGCGCAAATGTCCAGTTCTGGTGCTTTGAACTTTGTATGCAATCCCAACAACTGAATTGTCATTGGTTGCCTGTCTGGACTTCTCTGTCTTGTGAACGTATGTACACAAAGAGGCAGTTTGTAACCCAGCTTGTTAGGGCAGTTTCTGTGGCGTGGACAAAACACCTTAACCTTGGATGCAGAAACCTTGACCTCCTGCTTTGGTGTTCTGTGGCTTGGGGTGCTCAAGCTATTGCCCTTCCATGCTCCCCAGGGTCCTCCCAGAGTCCCCGTGAGTTGATATCACCTCTAGGTATTTCACTCAATCATGCTCTCCCATGGCTCAGCACTTGGTAGCAGCCATGGCATCTTGACTAGAGCAAATTGGTTCCCAAGCCCTTTCAAAGCCCTTTTTGGCTTTCATTCCCAAGCCAAGGAGAAGCAGTGGCCTCTTTCCTCCTAACATAGTGCCGTGGTTGAAGATCCCAAAGCTGGAAGGGAATACCCATTTCATATGTGGGTGGTTACTATGCAAACGTGATTTGCCTCTTCAGTCCATTACTCTGTGTTCTGTCAGCAAGTGCTGTGGTGCAGGCTGTGCTGGATGAAAGAGCTTGTAGGAAGCTGAGTTATGGTCTGATCCCAAAAGTGGTTGTTTTTTTCCTGCAATCTGTTATACGGCACTTCGAGTTTGTCTTGTGGTATGTTCTCTTCTCTGTCCTTGAAATACACACCCCTGCACCCCAGTAACAGCACTGAAAATGACGTGACTATGCTTTGTATTCCTGTTCCTCATGCAGTATTGGTGGAGGTACAGATATATGCACAAAGGCAAGAGTTAGCTGTGGGAGCGAGTCATGAGGAATGAGGATTTCTTCCCTTTCCTTGGGAAGCAGCTGAAGCAATATGCTAAGGGCCAACTCCAGGGCAGGATGAGCAGGGTACCAGAACCATGTGGGTGCAGCCAATTGGGATCCAGTTATGATGATCAGAGGAGGACAGTGAATACTTGACTGCCTCGACTGTCAGTGGGAACTTAGCACTCTGGTTGTGTCCAGTTGCTTCTGTTTCTCCAGGTCAGACCAGGAACAGTACTCCTTATGTGTGTCATGGGTTGCTAGTAAGATTAATATAAGTTTCAAGTTGCTTTTCATGTAAGATCTCAAATGGTTAAGGATTGTGATTTTCACGATGCAATTCTAAGTCTAGTAACTGTCTTTCATAAGGGAAGAGGACAGTGTGTATGTGATAGGCTACAAAAGGGAAGATACATTAGGAGCTAAGGATCAGAAGATTTAATGAGATTGTGAGATAGCCCTGCCAGAAGCAGCTAATACCCATAAGCCAGGCTGTGACTGGGGATGTGAAAGGTTAGAAGGGAGCTTGTTTGCCCTTCCCCTCTGAAGTAATAGAATTTTCGTATGAGTCATAATGTAGCCCATAGAATGAAATGTTAATGCTTATGCAAGTTCTTTGCTTCAGGGATTTTTAGGGAGTGTGTGTGTACATGTATATTTATGTAAGTCAAGTGGAATTTCACTCACTGTAGAGAAGTGAATTATGCTAATATGTTGTTTTGTGTTTTATAGAGCACAGCTTGCAGATGATGAAAGAACAGTTGGTGTTAGAGACTATGAAACCATATATACAATTTCTGGAAGCAGCTCACCTTCAGATATTCTACCAATGCTATACCTATCCTCTGAATCACCTCCAAAATATGAAGAAAAAGCATCAATAACACATAATGAATATTCTCTGTCGTCATCTTCATCTTCTTCATCTATTTCCTTAGCCACATCTGACACCAGCTCATAGAGGACTGTCAGTTACACTTCATTTTTAAATTAAATTGTACACTCAGATTTACAATTTTTGAATTTATTTACATTTTGTAATAAAAGCAATAACGTTCACTGTGTCTAATTTTTCATCAAAAAGCATAAATGGTGAATTTGGATTTCAAGAAATATTAGATAATGCTGGGCTTCTGAGCAAGTAGTCTGAAGAGATTCAGTTCACTGCAAGAATGTTAAATGCTCATCTTGTTCTGTTACAGCTTCAGTTTCTATTTTTAGTTGTTCTTTATATAATGGAGGCGCTAAGTAGAGACCAACTTTTTTTGCTTATTTTAATTAAATCTGTTTGGAGCTTCAAAAGAGAAATAATTAGGAAGTGTTTTTATTTCTATTTTTGTATGACTTTTGTGGAAAATACTTGTTTGCAAAGTTATTGACTTTATATGTACACTCTGAGAACATCACAAATAGGGGTGTTTAAGATTGGGACCAAATACGCTATGGAGAACTTAAATGGTTTTTTGGTCTGCCTGGTAACAAACACTCCATAGCTTAATTTAGACCCTCTCTGGTTCTTTTGTAAGTATAATCCCTATGCAAATCAGTTTTAGCCAGCAGTTAAGAGCCCTAAGGCAACACTGAGGATAGTTAATAGGCTAACAGTTTAACTGTGGTAATGACTGATTTCAGGGGATTATACTACTGTTACATATCATCACTCATGGTTTCTACAAGGAATGCTTATTTTGTGAAAGTGAGCGCCACTCAGCAGTTGTATCTTCCAGGTGCAGACATTACTTACCAGCAAATGCAAGAGAGGTAGTTTCATGGAAACACATGCAACAGATGTTTTTAACTGGCACAGCACTTGACAGACACTTCAGAAATGCAGCCCTCAGCTTCCCTGTCCCTGTGCAGTCCCTAGCTTAGTGGTAGCTGCCTACCTTCAGGATGGATTGACAACAGGTTCTAGTTCTGTTTTGCAAATGTTTGCACCCATTCCCGAACTGAAGGATTTGCTTGTAGTAGGTAAGGATAATTAGCAGGAACTGAGTTGCTGCTGACCTTTAACGCTTTACGACTTGCTCTGAACCATGTTTGAGAACAATGGACCTGATTCTGTGCCCAGAAATGGAAGGTGTCAGAGCTACTGTTAGGGCTTGGTTCAGCATGGTGAAATTACCAGCATTAAAACACCTTGTGAGAGCAATCTCTGTCTTGTTCAGCTGAGTCTCTGAACACCTGTGTGCTCTGGGACCTCAGCTACACCTCAACTTGTCCTCTGCCATGCTGAAGTAGAGGGAACCAGGCTGTAATGATAGGCTTTGAATTAAGAACTCAAGTTCTCTCCTGTGCCTAGAGAAAGGTGATTGTCTTGCGTCATCTCTCTGAACATGCTTCTCGCCTGCAGGGTTCTTTAGAGATGTTCAGGAGCTCCTGCATTTGGCCATTTATTTCCACCTCTGCGTTGCTCCCTCAGTCGTGCTAGGTCAGCTCCTTGTGCAGCCACACAAAAACAAACCAGCCAGCATGGGAGGTATATTTAATCAGCAATAGAGCAGAGGGGCTTATACATGCAGACTAATGAGCAAACACAGCACAGAGAGGGATTTAGTACGTGGGAGCTGATTAAACTGGTATGACTCAGCCATGGGAAATGTCTGTATGAAGAAAGGGGATCTACAAAAGCCAGCAGCCATTTATTTTGTCCCCTTTTCTCTCAAGTGTTTTTTACCTAGTGAGTTTTTCAAGGATGGTGTTCCTTGAATGCCTTCTGTAATCCAAGCTATGGTTTACGACATTTTTTATTTTTTTTTTAAAGCTTTTGTTTCTAACCCAGTTTTTAACAGTGGTGCCCACTGCCCTGCATGATTTGTGCATACAAAGCCTTGCACATGTCGAAGGAGCTTGTCTTTCTCAGGATTTGTCATGGTATTACATAGCAAGTACAGAAGCTGGCATGTTAGACCTAAAAGATCCCACGCAAACAAAGACCCATGTTGGCTTTGTTCCATTGTTTGAATTACAAATGAACACACATTGGCTGAAAAGGTTAAACATCAAAAAGCATTTAAAAAAATAAATCTTGAAATATGCCACCATTTTCTTTTTTAAAAAATACGGTCACATCTGATTGCTAACTGTAAAGTTATTAACCTTTTGTGCTGCCTGCAATTTGCTCAATCAGTTGTTCCCAAGATGTACCCAAGAGACCAGACAAATCAAGTAGAATATGTTGATTCTGAGCTGAGTCCTCTGGAATGGAAACATGATCTTGGTTTCTTTCAAGGTTATAGTGTTTTGATCTTCTACTGGAGAGTCTCCAGTGTGGATCACTTTATTTCTAAAAAAGCAGTCTTCATGGAAAGCATGGTTTAGAAAGCTGCTGACCTGAGTCTTTGGAGTCAGCACCTGAATTTCCTGGGAAGTGTAGGTGTTGCTTACCTCTGGAAATGAGGATTGAAAACAGAATTTCTCTCTGTATCATTTTGAGAAGATACTTAGGAAATAGGTCAATGTACAGCTAATCTAAGCTACACAAATCTTCTATTTGTGACTTGGAGAATCATTCCTTGAAAACCCAGTAGATGCTGGGTTCATCTCCATAACCTGCTCAGCACTGAGAGCTAACATAGCCAGGGCAATAGTATTTGCTTACTGTGTTGTCAAAATCTGTTTCAGCAAGGTCAGAAAATGTAAGCAGATCTGCCTCCACCACTGAAGGCTACCACTGGGTGAACAGCGTTAGTGGGAGGAATTTTTGATGTGGGGAGTAGAGGTGAAATGTCTGTATTAGAAAGGAAGCAACACCTTGTAAAACTATAAATGTCGCTTAAAATAATACAGAATAGCATTTTTATTGAGGAAGTGAGATACTTTACTGTCACACTAATGGTGCTATAACCCCCTTTCTGCCCTAAGGTTAGCTTAAGTGCTTGACGTACAAATGCTAGGGAGCAAATCAAGTTGGTTACTGATTCACACTACTTAAACAGGCAAAGTGGGAGGTAAGGATTGCTTATCCTCTGTAAGTGAAGTTAAGGTCTTTCTTCCTTGCTGCCTGCACCGACATTGCTCTGCTTCTAACTGCAACCCTACAATCCTTTGGATATGAGAAGGATTCACAAATATATAAATGGATGCCTCTTCTCTAGGAGAAGTCTTTCTTCCTGCATCACCAGCAGCTAAAAAAAAAAAGGAAAGCTAACTCATCTGAAAAACTGAGATCGCACAGATTCCTGCAATGATGCTATGTTTCTAGGATAGCAGCACTTGCTCGATTGCACCCACCCCATCCTTGACTTTTGTGGTTGGTAGCGCTGTATCCATCTATCCCTTTTACATCCTGCCTCTTCAGAGTCATGGCTTGTGGGGTATTTCTGTGTCCAGGCAGACATTTCTGCCCATACCTCCACGTTTCTGCAATGAACGTGTCAGCCTTCATCTAGGTCTGTGCTCCTCCCTCTATCACACATGCATGTATCTGGATAATTAGGCATGGAAATACATTCAATTTGGTGCACCTGCTGACAAGACAACATTCCCTGGGAGCATATAAAACCACCTTGCAGGTAGATGCAATTGTGGGCAGCTGGCTGAACCTGCTCCTTACAGCTTATTTATGCTTTGAGGCTGGCAGTGCAGTAGTGCAGGGCCCCAGCGCGCAAGGCCCACTCATGGTGGTTCTTTAGGTACTGCTCTTGCTTTCCACTAAAGATGCCATGTACAGTCACCTTTCTCTAGGAAAAAAGTCTCTTAGTCAAATCACTGGCTCCTTAATCTCCCTACAATTGAATGTTTAGTCAAATCACTGGCTCCTTAATCTCCCTACAATTGAATGTTTAGTCAAATCACTGGCTCCTTAATCTCCCTACAATTGAATGTTTAGTCAAATCACTGGCTCCTTAATCTCCCTACAATTGAATGTTTTGTTATGGAGTGTTACTTTGTACTTACTCTTTTTAAAGCCAGTCAGTGTGCAAGACCATGGTATAATTTTCTTTTATACAACATCTTGCATGTTCTATTACTAAGTCCCTGACTATATTACAGGCATGTAAGAAAATGAAGCCTCACTACAACAGGCTGGTAATGTGAACAACTGTGTAAAAATTAATAACAGAAGGAGAGGAAAAAAGGATTAAGTGAAGGCCTATTATTAAGTGTTTACTAGGATGACTCTTGAAACGGGTTAGAGAACGGAGGAGGTACAGAGCGCTACAAAAAAACATGCTTCCAGCAGCAAGTGCTCCAGGTGAAGTCTGCATTGGTGACAGAAAATTATGCAGAGGAACAGAAAGCAAAGCAGTGCTTGTGTTCAGGGGTAAGGTCCCTGAAGCAGATGGGATCAAAACTGTAGTGAGAACTGAAAACAGCACCCATTCTGAAAACCTCACTCTGATCAATTCTTTAGGTTTCACAAAACTGTTTTCATCTGTTTGGTAGTATTCCTGGTAAAAGGGGGTGCTTTTAGTAAATCAGCATCTTCAAGTGAGTTCCCAGAACATACACTTACTTGGCAAAGTAAAGTACTGGCCTTAAAAAAATTGATGTGATCCGGTAATCTCTTAAGACCTTGACAGCTGCCTGAATGCAGCATTGCCACTGTCTGGGGAAAAAATGGGAGAAATGTGGGGAGGCATTGTGTGAGGGGGTAGTTTACAGGGAAAGGTGTAATTTTAATTTAGATCCTACTGCACCAAAAAGAAAGTGTTTTCCATCCCACTTTCAAAGTTCAAGTGGCAAATAGCCTTGGAAGAAACCACCTGTACTCTCCAGCTCTGCTGTGCACTTGCTCAACAACCATGAAGTCATGTCCTAGGCCAGAGGCAAAGAGCATCAGCCATGGGATGATGCAACAGCCGACTTGGAAAACTCTGACTCCAGCCAGCATCTAAGGACCTTTGCACAGGACCAAGGAACTGCTCCAGCACAATCCTGTTGCCAATAGGAGTTGCAGAGTTCTTGAATGCATGAGAGGAGGAAGGTGACACTACATCTGTATATACCATTAGTTAGACAGCTATTATGATATAATGCTGCTTTTAAAAGGATGTTGGAAAGGCTGGAAGATTCAGCAAACAGCAACAAGAATGATTCATGGTATGGAAAA